TAATATATAATCCTTTTTAAGCCTATACACACACATATTTCTGTGTTTGCTCGGTGTCTGTGGCCCAACTTCAGAAGTTATTATGTGGAAATTATTTTATTCACTTTAGTTTTTAAGAAAAATTTTCCTTTTTATTGAACGTTTAATTTTTAACATTTTTGAGTGGAATAAGTAATGTCACGAGCTCAAGGTAATGAAGGAAATGCATCATGACATATCTGATGCGCTGTCCTGCATGATCGCGCTAACTATATTGATTTTTGAGAATGAGATACAAAATACGTGTTGACAGTCGATTGATAAATAAATTAGGTTTTTCTCCTGTAAGTTGATCGTCTTCGCAAAGACATGTCATATAGTAGCTAACAGCACAGTTTATTCAAAAACGATGTTAATGATGGACAGGGAAATTGCCGCGTAGTTCCACTACGAGAACATGAGCGTAGACTTCATATTCGCTACCATAGACGCAAGCGAATAAGAAAAAAAATCTCAATTTGGAATTCATGTTATTCGTTTTACCATTAATATGATTATATATGGATAGTCCTGAATTGTCCAAAAAAAAAATAGTAAAAAATATGCCATACACATTGATATATTCTAAATTCTCAAGCATCCTTTGCATCGAGCCTTTGCCTCAGGAAGTATCAATGTTTTGAATACCATCTATTTTTCTGCGCAACAAAATAGTAAGTAAAAGGTAAAATAAATCTGCCTTGAAGATTGGTATTCAAAACTATAAGAAAAGAGAATTACACAACAGATCAGAGACCTCATCACTGTTATGCAGGCTGTCATGAAGTGCAATAAAATGATTGATGATATTTCATCAATATTTCATTATGCAGCATGATCATTCATGTAAGGCATGTCATGCCGCATTACCGTTGTCATCCTAATAGTTACAATAAAAGCTTCATCCCTTATTTTTCCAATTATAATCGTAATGAAAATAAAAAATATAATACAGACAAATACGTGTGGAGTAGGATAGTGCTAAGTAGAATTTAGAAAATCAAGTGATGAAAACGAAAGCTATATTTTCATTCCGTTAAGAATTCGATGAGATTACAAAATTCAAGACAGGAAAAATTTTAAATTCCCAGAACACTTTGATAACAGTTATAGAAATATCTAATATCTAATAATATACAAATATGAATAATCTATTTATAAACTAGGAAAAGAGTATTGCACTATTAAGGAAAGGTTTTCAAGGGACCAATTCTCTGCGGGTCCGGATAAGCACCTAATTCATTTACATAGATTGGGTACCCAATCAAGTAGGTACATCTAAAAAGGAACTAATGCCAACTGGCAAAAGAACAATCCATTTCAATATTCCTAGGAAATATAACAAAAAGTGTAATATGAGTGTCTATTTGTCCTATGTCAATTTTGACCCTGCAAAGGCTTTTATCATATTATTATCGTTTGGTTTAACAAATTTAATCTTAACATTTTAAGGTTCTTTCGCGTCTATCATCTTAATTATGTTTTACTCGTGGCTTCGTACGCTTTTAATTAAAATCCAAAGAAATTTTCTTACTAATATTATTTCACTAGAAGTTGCATACTAAGTACACTTCTATGAATTACATTAAAATATAGGTTTTGCTAATCGAAAACGTGAGCAAGTTATGTAAATCTGATTATGGAAACTTTTGATGTCTGACCCTGGGATTTGTTAATTACATTGAAAATACTCCTCTTAATTGGAATTGTTAAGGTTTAGAGTGAAAAGGAAAAAAAAGTAGAAAGAAAAAAACATTTCACAAAATAATGGTTACCCCATATTGTACATAATATTTGCCATAAACGTTTATTAAATAATACTAGATATTGCCGAATGTGACGAAAAGGGATCGCTCAGAATTTGGCGTGGTAAGCGCTGTTTTTCAGTCGTCTTTTTTGAGAAGTCGAGAAGTGGTACATCATAACAAATTTAAATTAACAGATAAGGAAATAGCAAAATTATAAAAATAGATTCTGCATAACTTGTATTCTACATACATTGTTAGGCTTTCAGTCAAAGTAACAATAATAGGACTGCTGAAAACCTTAACACAATAATTATTTATTATCTTTACGCAAATACTACACATTGAATAAAACCATTTTTACGGATTTAATCGCGTTTAATTAAACGCGATAAAATCCGTAAAATATGGTTTTACTTAACACAATACATTAAATAGAAAATAAAAAATAAAATACAAATTTGATGTGATGTATTTTATTTTATCGTAACAAATTCTACAACTAACTATTACGCAAATGAATATTATGTATTATATTAAGTATTATTAAATTGTAGATTATAAACTGTAATGCTGTGCTGTTTTATCTGTATGTATTACGTGGTAGAGCCACGCTGCAGCTATGTTATGGGTGTAGCAAGAACAGAGTTAGGTCGGCTCGACCGGAATAGCAGCTTAATCCTTCTGTATTTCGTATGGTGAGTGTAGAGAACTAAAAACCCTTTTTGCTGGAAACGAGACATTCCATCTTAGTTCTCAGGGGTGACAACACATCTGCATTTTGATTCTTAATCGAGGAGAAATCTAAATATCTATGGGCCTAGGTTCCACTTACCATCTTGTGGGTTGTGTGCTCGTTTGTCACACTTATACTATTAAAAAAAAAGTTTTGCGTTAGACATGTTAAAACAGATTGTTTATTGGGGTCTTCAGTATAGGGGACTACAGGATGTTTACGTAATATGACACGTACATTATAAATCTGCCTGACCGCAAGTACATTGGCTAAATAGGATATTTATTCAAAAAAGTTTTAAGATGGCAGGCTGTACATATCGTTTTTGAAGAGATTGCCTTCAAATTCCAATGTTCGTGTCACACATGTTTGACATTGCTCGGTAATTTTTTATTGATTAGTCAAAATAAAGTGCTTGTTAAACGTCAAAATTACGAATTTGATGAGCACAAACGAACAAAAATTGTAACAAAATTTAGAATTTGGTTACAAGTGAAAATATTTTAAAACATTTATAACGGCTGGACCTTCGAAAATCCGTGCATCGACTGCATTGGCCGTGAGTTCATTACGCCCTCACTGTTTAGCGGCATATTTTGGCACTCGCTCAAACTATCTGAGCCTATCGTACGCAGCAAATATTTATTTTGTCCTTCAACTGGCAGTCTGCAGCGATTATAATGACAAATTTCGCAATCTAGACCTTATAGAAGTCCAAGTGTACTAAACTATATGACTTAATGTTGCTTAATATATCAGAACAACACGACATAATATCGTAAAACTACGGACGAATAGCTTCGCCAGTCATGTGTTTGTTCCTCACTAAAGGAAAGTAACCTGTTAATGCAAATGCATTCCCTGGCGGCTTCCCTGAATCACACATACACAATGAGCCTTAATGTCTACACTACACGAGGGAATAAACAAAAGGGGAAAAATTCTCGCCTGCATTCGTCGACTTAACTATGTTAGTTTCGTAAATACGTGACTTCAGAAACTATGTTAAAAAAATAGTACGCCAAGAACCGAAAGGTTAGGCGAATGCTCGGAGGTGCTTGAGTCCGAAGATTTGGAAATTGATTCATTAAAATCATAAGTCCGTTACAGCGTATTAAAATCCACTGCTGAACATAGGCCTCCCCCATAGATTGCCTTATAGTGGTTTTTATTTTCAGTCGTTATAAGGAAGACGCTGCTACCCATTTCCTGATTTGTTTCCGTCTGTCGCCTCTTAAGACACCCACGGGATGATATGTGGTAGTGGATCTCATCGTGGAGTCATCTGAGAACATTGTCACTAGACTACCACAAGAGATTTATATTATTGAACGGCTCACTAAGTCTGTTTATTATTTCAAGATAAGACTGCGAGCAGAGAATTTTGGCTTCCAATTCTCTTTTCTATAGCAAAGACCTATTTTAAACAAGCAAATTTAGAAGAAAATTCATTCATTTCCACGAAGACCTGGACACCAAAATTGGCCACGAAAAAGCAGATGAACTTTTGTAAAAATAATATTTTTAACTGTTCCCTAATTTTTTAACAATCGGTTCAGCCATTTCGACTAATCATCGATAGACAATTTTTAATAATGGTTATTCATGTCGTAATGGCATGCAAATTACCCCCTTTACTCAATAAAAGGTAGTTATTAAGATATTACAGGCAGACACTTCAATTTCTTTTTAAAAACATTACCTCCACACTAGCATTATCTCCTGTATAGTATTTTATTTAGTTTTATTTATAAACTAGCGATCCGTCGCGGCTTCGCACGGGTGAATTTTGGATTTTGACAACGGCGCCACCTAGCGGGTCTAATTGTGAATCTAAACCATCCAGGGGCGCACTCAAACAAACAAAAAATTTCATCATATTCAGTCAAGCCATTTTTGAGTTTTGAGCGAGACTAATGGACAGCAATTGATTTTTACCCGCGACGGAACGGAGAAGGCGTATGCGTTTATGGTGAGAGGTTGTTTGACTGTTTGTGTGTGCAAAAGAATGTTCCCATTTATCTCCAAAACGGTTTGACCAATTGAGATACAGTTTTCTGCAAAGGGTTTGTGATTTATTGGCTATAAACATTTTTTACTTATTTTAGCGATTTTTTCAGCGAGACGGCTTGACTGATTTAGGTGCGGTTGTCAATATCACATACCATATTTGAATTCTTAGAGTGATCACCATGTTAATGCCATAAATAACAGATCTAATAGATTAAATACCTTTTCCGTTTGGCCTTTTTTAAGCTTCTTCGATTTGGGACCCACGCAACATGTTTCTCAATTGCTCTAGCTATTTCATACTATTACGTGCATTATTTGAAAGTTTGCTTTGATTCAGACCGGATACTACAACGCCATCTAAAGATTTTACTCTAGTAAAAGTCACATAAGTTTGCCCTTTGACAAATGTTTTGGATCTAAGGTGACCGCTTTATCGACTGTAGTGCCTTCCTAATCATCATCATCATCATTCTCTAAACCATTTCCCATTATCTGGGGTCGGCGCAGTAAATCTTTTTGTTCCATTCCTCTCTATCAGCCGTCATTTCCATACTTACTCCTTTCATTCTCATATCACTCTTCACACAATCGATCCATCTTTTATTCGGTCTTCCTCTGCCCGTGTGTCCCTCCACATTCATATTCAACACTCGTTTTGTGACATGACTTTCATTCCTCCGCATCACATGCCCAAACCATGCCAATCTGCGTCCTCTCACCTTTTCTACCACTGGCGCTACTTTCAGGCTTCCTCTTATATACTCATTCCTTATCTTATCCATCCTTGTCACACCACACATCCATCGTAACATTCTCATTTCATTCGCATGCAGTCTATTTTCATCCTTCTTCTTGACGGCCCAGCATTCACTTCCATACATGACGACAGGTCGGATGATCGATTTGTAAATTTTCCCCTTCAGCCTTATTGGCATTCGGGGATCGCACGTTGTGGCTGTGACCTGTCGCCATTTCATCCACCCTGCGTTAATCCTATGCTGCACAGCTCTATCTATTCCGCCGTCGCCTTGAATGAGGGAACCGAGGTACTTGACATCTGAGCAGATAGGCAGTATAGCGCCATCCAACGACATGGGTACAGGACTGGAAAGACCGCCGAAATCACAGCACAGATATTCGGTTTTGGATCTGCTGATCTTCAAGCCAACACTTTCCAGCCTCCGTTGCCACCCCGTCAGTCTGCTCTGTACCTCGATGCTTTCTTCCCCGACAAGCACGATGTCATCGGCAAAGAGCATGCACCAGGGTGCCTCATCCTGCAGGTCCGACGTCAAAGCGTCCATAATCAGTAGGAAGAGGTAAGGGCTCAGTGCCGACCCTTGGTGCAGCCCTACCGCCACATCGATACTGCCCGTAGTTCCCGCGGCAGATCGTACACATGTACGGGATGCTCTGTACATAGCACGGACCAACCTCACATACTTCCCAGGCATACCTTTCATCTTTAACGCCCACCACAAGACCTCACGGGGAACCCGATCGTACGCCTTTTCAAGGTCGACAAAAACCATGTGCAGATCTTTATGCACGCGCTTGTACTTTTCGCACAATTGGCGTAATGCGAAAATGGCATCTGTCGTACCTCGACCGGGCATGAATCCGAACTGGTTTTGTGTTATCTCACACTCTTCTCTCATTCTTCTCTCTATTATTCTTTCCCAGACTTTCATCGTATGTGACATGAGCTTTATTCCCCGGTAACTGCTGCAGTTTTGAACGTCTCCTTTGTTTTTAAAAATGCGAACTAGTATACTACTGCACCATTCCTCAGGTATTTGTTCTTCCTGCAACAATTTACCGAAAAATAAACTCAACCACTTCCATCCATCCGCCCTCAGCAACTTCCACACTTCTACTGGTATTCCATCTGGGCCGACCGCCTTCCCATTCTTCATATTCCTAACAGCCATTTTTACTTCTTCCACACTAATTTCTCTCACTAAGCCCATATTCACTGGTGGGTTTTCAAGCATACCATTCCATTCATTCTCCTCATTCATCAATTTCTCAAAATACTCCTTCCATCGCTTCTTTATACTTTCATCGTCAGTCAAAATCCTTCCAGAATCATCTTTTATACATTTTACATGTGAAACATCTCTTCCATTCCTTTCTCTCGCTCTTGCAATTTGAAAAAGTCGTTTTTGACCTTCGGGGCTTTCAAGGGACCGATATAATTTATCGTGCGCCTCTGCCCTACAAATAGCAACTTCCTTCTTCGCTCTCTTCTTACATTCTTTATACGCCCCTCTCTTACTTTCTTTTATGGATTCATTCTGGTCTTCTACGCTCTGCCATTCTTTAAAGGCATTTTTCTTTTCTCTCAAAACTTCTCTAATACTTTCACTCCACCACCACCCATCTTTATCTATCATACGCTTCCCTTTTGTTTCTCCTAACACCTTCCTTGCCGCACTTCGGATACAATCAGCCATTTCCTTCCAGCACTCATTCACACTCATTCCTTCCATTTCACCAATCTCTATCATCTTGTTTACTACTAGCTCTCTAAATTCACTTGCATACCCCTCCTTATGCAACAAATGCCACTTTATTTTGGGTGGGGGACGATCCTTATGTTTGTTGAGGCGAACAGTTAAGCAGATGTCAGCCAGCAGAATTCGGTGCTGGGATACTAAGTCTTCACCTGGAAGCACTTTGCAGTTTTTTACATTCTTGAATGAGTAGAATAATTACCCTTTCTATTTTACGTACCCAAATTTATGTGTGATACTAAGCCTCCTGTGTTATTTAGATCCACTGGAATAGCAGCAGGTTCCTGTCCATAACTGTTCGGTTCCCTGGACTCATCTCTTGAATTTATCACGTATAATTTCGTTGTTAGTTTGGTTAACATTGTCTGATTGAATGCGTGTTTGATTGAAACGAGTTGTAAGTTGGGATATATACGTACAGCTTCCTCATCGACAAAGTTTTTCTTTAAAGAACTCGAGTCATCTCCAGGAGTAGCTGATGCTATTACATTCTCAGCTCTTGAATTTGTATATTGTTAAGTAGATAGAAAGTTATACAAATATTCAGTCAGTAACGCTACCTGCGTTCTCTAAAAAGTCTAAAATAAAAATAAAAATTAAAAATTTTGGTAAACCCACGACGAATATAAAGATGTGGTCGGTTGCCATTGACATGTTCCCAATTTCAATAGAGAAAAGCTGAGAGATTTAGTGACTCTATATTTAGTTACTTACCCAACGTAATTACATTTAGTCACAAACTTATAAAAACGCAAAATTTTAGTTTATTTCAGGACAGGAAATGGCAGCCTCGACGGATTTATTTATTTAATTATTTATTCACAAATTGCGTTACATGTGACTTAGAGACTAAACAAAACATGCAAGTTCTAACAATCACATGCACCTCGAAAGGCGTAGCAATGAACAGGAGAGGGGCAGACACTTAAAAATTCTTTTCCTCCATGTATTCATTAATTGAATAATAACTTTTTTTAATGAGTATAGCTTTTAAAAATCTAATGAATTTTTTAATATTTGTTTCGGATTTTATGTATTCCGGCAATTTATTATAAATTTTCATTGACATCGGGTAAGGACCTGTACTGTGTAATTTTAATTTAGATTTTGTTTGCAAAAGGTTATTCTTATAGCGAGGTACGTTGTGTCGGGGCGCGTCTATGATTTTGATGTAAAAACTTGGGTGTCTTTTTACAAATTTACATATTTCTAATATATATAGGCACGGTAATGTTAGAATTTTGAGACTTTGAAAGTGAGATTTGCAGCTTTCTCTTTGTTTGATATTTGCAAGTACGCGTATACATTTTTTTTGTAAAATAAAAAGTTCGTGTGATTCTACACTGTTGCCCCACAGTATGACACCGTAGTTTAGCCACGCTTGAGCGTAGGTGTGATAGGCTGTCACTGCCGTTTTTAAATTTGTAGATTTTTTTAATTCTCTTAAAGCATATACAAATTGTGATAATTTTAACTTATTTTTTTGAATATGTGATTTAAAATTAACATTCGAATCTATATTTATACCCAGCAAAGAAAAATTTTGAACACATTCTAATTTTGTTTGATTATATGTATAATTTACTTGGGTTTGTAATTATATTACCTAATAGGTACTTAGGTGAATACGTGTAGTACATACATACTTGATGTTATTGCTGTGTTTATCGCTACGACAAACAAATAGGCACACAAAGGTAGGAAGAACCCTTTTTAACACGCTTTTATTTTTTTCTTTCGTGACTCCGATCTTCGATCCTCTTAGTCGGAGGTTTTTAAAAATTTTATTTAGTCCTTTTTCGACTACATCTTTATACCCGTCGTGCGTTTATCAATATTTTTAATTTTGCTTTTTATTATGTATAGAGATGTATAAACTAGGCCTAAAGTGATAAAAATTTAAAACGAATAAATTACTAACAAAAATTAGGTGCTCGCGATGGATTCGCGAGCACAGCTAGTTTATAATATTAGTAGGTTTAGTAAAACTAACTGCGTTGGTCTAGTGGTTGTAAACACGACTGCTGATCATGAGGTCCCGGGTTTGAAACCCGGGTTGGGCCAAAAAATTCAGTTATTGAGATTTTTAGTCATGAAATTCTCAGTAGCTGCTCAGAGTCAGGAAGTTGGCGGTGTCTCACCCACGTGCCTCGGAAAGCACGTAAAGCCGTTGGTCATGCGCCTAAACTCTCTCAGTACGTGTCGGCTTACCGTCTCATCGGACTATGAGAGTGAGGGAATAGAGAGTGCACCTGTACTTGCGCATACACTTGGGCACTATAATCTTGTCCTGCGCCGATGTCTAGTCTTCGTTGAGGCTGGCCGCCGTGACCGAAATTCGGTTTGGAGGACATTATTAGGTTTATTAGGATAGGATAGGATGTAATGTAGATAATATATTTAGTCAACCTTTAAATATTTCGTCAATTTACATTTACTTGCAAATTTACTTACTAAAAGCTATTTAATTTACCATCTTTTTATTATTAAGTCACTTTCTTGTTTGTCTGTCGATCCGGGTGGAATTTGGTTATTGATTTTACACTAACTTCCTAATAAGCTGGAAGCTTCAAATTTTGAATATGATAAAAAAAGTAGTTAAACTTTTTAATTTAAAAAAAATCACTCGTTCGCAATTTATCATCACTAATCTAACATTTGCCAGCTAGCTTTCGGTAGACCTAGATGTTAAAGCGTAAACACCGGAGCAAACTTTATTTTTATCATATTTTGAACTTTATCTAAAACTCATGAATAGCCCTAAAACACTCTATATCCAACTATAGGTTTATATAGCCTATTAGCATTCAAGGATATATACAGCTTAAAAAGAACAATAAAATATGTAAATAAAACATTTATAAGAACATAAATAAAGGATAACTTGTGGGTCATTTTATAGCCCGAACGTTGGAAAGAGTTTTTTTAAGGTACGATATGAATATACAACGGAATGTACTGAAATATAAAATTTATATGATCTTTATGTACTACAAATATATTATCGTATTTATATATTTATGCCGTAAGAACTTTTATAGTCACCGTCCCATACTACTTCACTAAAAGCAACAAACTTCAAACAAATTATCCGAAAAAAAGGTAGAATTTTTTTAGAGGCGTATCAGAAATACTTTTCTCTAAATGCATAAACTACAATATAATTATGATTTAAAGTTAAAGTTACAGACTATACGTCTCACGGCTGGGCACAGACCTTCTCTCATTTCAGGGAGAGTTTTAGAGAGAGGGAATGTCCGCCTTATTACGCCAATGCGTGTTCGAGAACTTTACATGTCCTCGAAATATTTTTTTGTTCTTATTTCTCAGACATGCAGGTTTCCTCACTATGTTTTTCTTCAGATTCAAGCACGTGGTAAAACAGTACTTAGCATTGTAATTAACAATTTCATTGGTGCCGGTGGGGATCGAACCCCGGTTGCTCGCGTACTGTGAAAATAGAGCAAATACAGCGGGCGCTTAGCCCTTGACTTACCACGGTTACTACAAGTACAAATTTAAAAGATGATAAAGTTTCAATTATAAATTATAATTTAACAATTGATAATTTTTAAATTGGTTCATGGTGTTAAAAAGGTACCTCAAGCTAACACTACCAATCAGTGATGAAAATTTCTAAGACTTCCGCAAAGCAAACATCATCTCCGAGAATCTTCAAAAGAAAAATTGCTTCTCGAGAAAATTCTAAAAGAGAGTAGCGAAAGTATTTATTTTAATTTGTCAACTTCATTAATGACAATAAAACTTTCGTATCATGTGTTTATTTAACGGCCTGTTTCACAAAACCCAAGTAAAATTTATATAGGATAACCGGAAAGTAAAGTGTCAGTAAAGAAAAAAAAAGCAATTCAAATTTTCTAAAGTTAAATAGGTTAAGTATTCTGATTCTTTAATCAGATTGACATGATAATTTTAAAACTAGTTTTTACGGATTTCATCGCGTGCTTTCATTACAACATACTTCAAGCTACCGAAGAAGATTAGTTAGTTTTTACCATCAGTCAAGTATAATATTTCTCTCCAAGATGCAGGAGTGTACAAGATTCATTGTGAATGTGGTCTCTTTTACATAAGACAAACTAAAAGACCAATAAAGACCCGGTTAAAGAACACATAGCTGATGTGAAAAATTGACGCGCCTGGAAGTCTGCAGTCTTTGAACACGTACAGGATGGCCAAAAGAACACCTATTCCTTCCAAAGATGATTCGCGAGGTTATTGAAATCAAAAAATATCCTGATTTATATATAGAGAAGATGGCTAGGTGCTACCATCTGCTTGGGATCATATTATTAATAAAATTGGATCCCAACCCTAGCATACAACTGCAAGACGTCAAGATGTTATAAGTTCATACTGCGTAGCTTGCACCAAAAATTAATAGTTTTAATCTGAAGGTAGCACAACGAAGGTAGGACAACGAACACTCAGTGCCCCCCCCCCCCCCCCCCCCACCCCCGGAACCATGGGTGCTGTGAAGTACTCGAAACGTCGGGTTCGTGTAAACACAAGAAATCATTATTATATTTTTCTCTATAAAGAAAATATCATCCTAATATGGATCATGATATACAGCCCGCTAACAAACAGACGGATGGACGAACGGACGGACGGACAGCGGAGGCTTAATAATAGGGCCCCGTTGGTTATCATTTGGGTACGGAACCCTAAAAAGCGACTGCCACTGCTAAACGAACAAATGTATGAACGTTGTTTGTCCGCGATGAACTCCTAAACTACAGAACTGATTTCAATAAAATTTTGTCCACTCTGTGCAGTTTGGTCCAACTTGAGAGATAGAATAGTTTTTATCCTGATAAGTGACACTCAATATTGAAAATTTCAATTCAAAAAATTAAATTCAAAAGGGCAGAATAACGTCTGCCTGGCCAGCTAGTATGTATGTATATATATATATATATATATATATATATATATATATATATATATATATATACATATTAAATACAGCTTAAACTAATACGGTAGCTGAAGATGCGTATCTACTTCGTTGTTTCGAGGAGATATACTTATTTCATACGTTAATTCAGTTTTTAGACCCTTAGAAAAGCGTACCTAGTTAATTTCTCCTTAGAAATGTGCCCTCGTTCGAGACGATACATTCGAGCTACAGCCATAATACTAAGAACAGCAGCTTACTTTGGCCTGGGTTTTTTTGTACGCTTATTATTATTCCTATAATTTACTAACTTTTGATTGTCTTAATAAATTTAAAAAAATAAGCGCGAACAGCGCTCCGTGAAGCCTTTAACTGAACTATGACTTTAATGAGTTTTATAAAAAAATATTGCCTTTTGTAGCTTTATTAATTATTCTTATT